AAGCTGGAATTCAATTTCAGTTCATGATCTTCCCATTCTCCCTCCCCTCCCCCACTCTCCTTCTTGTACTCTACTAGAAGTCCTTTCAGTCGTCTACTTGTTTATATTTGATTGATTCTTTTTACTTATACACGAAGGTGAAATTCCTTATATAATATATGGTATATTTATATATGCACATACCATAATTTTTTAAAGAATTCATTATGCATTGAGGAGGCAATTGTTCTAAGGTTTCATGTTGGGATGCTTTTCTTTAGCATCACTGAAATACCTGACAAGAACAATTAGAAGAGGAACAGCTTATTTGGGGCTCCTGATTTCAGAGGTTCGCCCATGGTAGGCTGACCCCTTGCTCTGGGTCTGAGGTAATGACAGAACATCACAGCAGAAGGGCATAGTGGAGGAAAGCTGCTAGTTCATGCAGCCAGGAAGCAAAGCAAGAGAGGGCCATGAGCCAGGGACAAAATATAGTCCCCAGGGGCACACCCCCAGTGACCTACTTCCTCCATTCATGCCTCACCTGCCTACAGTTATCATTCAGTCATCCATTCAAATTATTCTCCCATGAAATGGATCAATCCACTGATTAGGTTATAGCTCTCATAATGTTATCATCTCACCTCCAAATATTCCTGAACTAACAAATACATGAGCTTTTCAGGGCACACCTCATATCCAAACCCAAGGGATGCCTACCAAGAATGAGCAGTTTTGTAGGGGAATGTTATGATTTAAGGACATGTGTTGAAGTACAATCGAAGATGCATAAGTTTCCACTACTCTTAAAACTGACGTAGATTTTGGAGTTAGAGATGAGGATCTCAACTAATTTCTTACTATGAAATTAAATATGGAGAGAATGAATAATAATCCATACAAGAAAGATAAACTGGAAAAGAAACATAGCAAGCCATTTCCATTTAAGCACTGCAATCTGTGTCATTTGATGATTATAATGTTGTCTTATGTATGTTTTTATTTTTCTAATTTGAAGTTTAATGTATATATAGTGAAGAATTGAAATCTAATTAGGTTCCTTTTAGAGCTAATCACTTTGTAAATCTATTATTATAACATTTATATAGCACTCTTCAATTTACAAAGCCCTTTCCTCTAACACAGGAGCCAGGAATTGTTTGAGATTTCAGTAAAAAAAAAAAAATGCTTTAGACCTGTCTTGCCTCCCTTCTGAATCATTGGACCCCATTATTTTATATGAATTTCATCCATTTTTTGCTGGCTTACTCTATGGATTTCATCCATGCAGCAGGTTCGATCCCCACTTTACACATGAAAAAGTCAGAATGACTGATTTGCTTGTAGTCAGCATCATTATAGGTATGTTATATTGAATAAGTGATACAGTCTTTCATATATATGCAGAACAATTCCTCCAGAATTAACAGTTTAAAACTATAATAAGTTTGTATTATCACAGTTTCTGGGGGTGGGGATTGTGTAGTAACTGAATGGATGGTTCTGGGCCCAGGTCCTCCATGAAGTTGCAGCCAAGATGGCAGCTGGAGCCTGAATGGGACATTCACATGCCTGGCAGGTTGATGCTGGCTGCTAGCAGGAGGTCTGTGTTTCTTTTTGGCTATTAATAGGAGGTTTTAAGATACAGGGACCTTTCCATAGGGCTGACTTGTATGTCCTCAAAATATTGTCAGGCTTTCCCCAGAAGGAGGGATCCAAGAGAAAGCTACAATTTTTTAGGGCCTGAACTGCAGGTCACATTCTATCATTTCTGCAAAATCCTATAAGTTATACAAATCATCTAATTTAATGTGGAAAGGGACTCTACAGGGACATGAGTATCTGGTGAAGGGAAGATGGGGATCACTGGTAACACTGACTACCATACTATCTTTATATATCTCAAATACTTTCACTTTCAACTTTTTACAAAGCACATCTTATTTCATTCTGATGCAAATTATAGACTCTCAAAGAGACATTTTTCTGTAAACATAAGTCAAGTTTCGCATGCATTTTTTTCATAATTTTTATTGGTGCGTGATAGTTGTAAATAATAGTGGGATTTGTTGTTACATATTTGTACATGCACACAACATAAAAATGTAATTCAGGTAATATCATTCCATGCATTTTTTAGAGTTTTCAAAAATGTTTGAGGCTTCTAGTAATCATAAGTGTACAATCAAATAGTCATCTGTGGCCTATCCAATAGTAAAATTAAATGAGGAGGTACATCACACTTGATAATAAATGAGAGGTTTAAGTGAACTAATCATACCATTTATCTGTTTGAGTCATTAAAATAAATTACAACAAAGAAGGCCTCTGGAAACCACCCAAATGAATAGAATGTGCCATCAATCAAGGTGCCAGTTAGCTGAATTCTACACTTTGAGTTGTACATTTTCTTTTTTTTTTTTCATTTTATTTATACATGACAGTAGAGTCTATTTTGACATATATATGGAGTATAACTTCCCATTTTTCTGGTTGTGGGTTATACATTTTCTACCATGTATTAGAACTTTTTAAAGACATGCAGGCCTTGTAGAAAAACTTGAGTAAAGTTCACATGTAGTTTTTATGTGTTACATAATGTCTTAAAAACCAGCTTCAACAGTGAAGTATTGATAGACTAAAAGAAAGTGACTCTGGAAAGACGACCCTTGTTTACCCATGAAAACTGAGTCTCTCATCTCAACAGTGGTGTCCACACACCATCACCATGGTGTAGAGCGCCTTCTCTAAGCTCTTAAGCATGCACAAGCATCTCATGAATTAGCAGAAATCTTAGTTTGTTTCAGCTTAACCTATTGCCCCATCTGGATGTTGCTAAATTCCTTGAATGAGAAGCCATATCTTTTTTTTTTTTTTTTTTTTAAGTTTTTTTTTTTTTTTTTTTTTTTTTTAAATTTTTTATTGTTGGCTGTTCAAAACATTACATAGTTCTTGATATATCATATTTCACACTTTGATTCAAGTGGGTTATGAGCTCCCATTTTTACCCCATATACAGATTGCAGAATCACATCAGTTACACATTCATTGATTTACATATTGCCATACTAGTGTCTGTTGTGTTCTGCTGCCTTTCCTATCCTCTACTATCCCCCTCCCCTCCCCTCCCCTCCCCTCTTCTCTCTCTGCCCCCTCTACTGACATTCATTTGTCCCCCTTGTATTATTTTTCCCTTTCCCCTCACTTCCTCTTGTATGTACTTTTGTATAACTCTGAGGGTCTCCTTCCATTTCCATGCAATTTCCCTTCTCTCTCCCTTTCCCTCCCACCTCTCATCCCTGTTTAATGTTAATCTTCTTCTCATGCTCTTCGACCCTACTCTGTTCTTAGTTACTCTCCTTATATCAAAGAAGACATTTGGCATTTGTTTTTTAGGGATTGGCTAGCTTCACTTAGCATAATCTGCTCTAATGCCATCCATTTCCCTGTAAATTCTATGATTTTGTCATTTTTTAATGCAGAGTAATACTCCATTGTGTATAAATGCCACATTTTTTTTATCCATTCATCCATTGAAGGGCATCTAGGTTGGTTCCACAGTCTAGCTATTGTGAATTGTGCTGCTATGAACATCGATGTAGCAGTGTCCCTGTAGCATGCTCTTTTTAGGTCTTTAGGGAATAGACCGAGAAGGGGAATAGCTGGGTCAAATGGTGGCTCCATTCCCAGCTTTCCAAGAGAAGCCATATCCTCAGCTTCACCTTCCTCATCACCCACTTACCCTCAAGCCTTCACAGTCTTTCTTGTGTTCCTTGCCCCCTGTCTGTTAGAATCACTGCCTCACAATCTCAACCACTGTGCACTCAACAGTGTTGGATGCTGTTAGAGCTCCCACCCTAGACTTCCTGAAAACTCTTCTGTGCTGTGTGACTCTTCTCTCCTTTGATCTGCCTTGATCTCTGCTGTTTCTGTCATCTCATAGTCTGACATCACAAAACAAAAGTTGCATTTTTGTTTTTTGGTTATTGACCTCAGCCCACTCCTTTGTGCCATCTGCTTTTATGCCTCATCCAACCACTTTGTTCAACCAATAATGGGTATTCCCTCATCTCTAATAGCTCCCAGGCTCCAAGTCCTTATAACACTTCAAACTCAGTACGTCTAAACAGAATTCCTCATGCTGCACCCCACCACATCTTATCATTTCCCCAAAATACATCACTGTGCCCAGAGTTATCTAGTCACCTGGGCTTCTCCTTCTCCTTTGCAACTCACATTTTGTAAATCACTGAGCCCAATTACATCTGCCTCCCCGCTGTCTTCTGCATTCCCTATTTCTCTCCTCTCCACTCCCTGTATCATGGCCCAGTTCACCCTTTCATCACCTATTGCCTAAAGTCTAGGACAGTCCTCTTCCTTAGGCACTGGTATTAGTGTTCAAATCCTGAGAGCAAGCCCCACAGTATGTCTTCTTGATCAATTTTCCTTGTCCACCTTGCCCATACTATTTATTTCCTTTGCCAAGAACCACGCTTTTGCCTATTTCAGATTCCCTTAATCTCATGCATACCTTAAGATCCAAATCCAATACTCCTTTCTCCATAATTTCACAGGCACTTCCTTCTTTCTTAAAAGAATTGCTTCATCCTCTTGTATCTTTAAATGTTCTGCATCTTTTGGTGTACTTCTCATTTCATGTTAGATTGTCCTTTCTATCCTTCAAGGTTATAAGAAATCACAATCTTATTTTATTTAGCTGTTGTCCTCATAGTGCTTTCCATGTGGATTTTCATTTCGTGGTTTATTGTTTAGTGAATGACTCTTATTAACGAGCTTTTTAAAACCAAACAGCATAATTAGTACATATTTACCCAGTTTTTATAAATTAATTTGAAGGCATTCTTTCATCCTTGAGAACTGTGCATGACCACCTCTGGAAGCAATCTGGACGTGGGCTGAAATAGTGGCTGTGTTTGGAATTGCCAAACACATCTTTCATCTGAGTTACATCATGCTGTCTTGACCCCACACTGCAACTTATCTGCCACTTCTCATTTCAGGAAGAGTGGAGAAGAAAAGAGAACAAAAAGCAACTTCAGGTAAGATTTTGTTTTAATTGGCTCCGGCTTTATTTCCTGTTTATTTCCATCCTTAAAAATCTCTAGCTGTAATTTAGTGTTCAAAAATTCACATACAGAGCAATGGCTTATCGTCCTTGAATTGAACAATATTAAGTAATTTAATATAAATTAATACACTTAGCCCTTTTACTTTGACATTCGTCAATTATGTCCTTTTCATTCTATATATTCAAAAGAAAACGAGATGGAATGTATAATTTTTCATGATTATCTATCCAAAGGTAAGTCTTGCAACCAGAAATTTTAAAACATAGACATTGCAATAGTTGACAACTAGTTTCTTTCCCCCAGATGTCTATGAATCTCAATTGTTTCAAAAACCATTTGTGTAATTGATATATTTCAGAACAGTGTTAACTACCTGAGAAGAATCTTTACATTTGGGAGAAATTTTTTAAATGTTTCCACATCTAAATTCTGTAGCCACTCAGAGGTGAATGATGTTTTGGCAAAATGTCAGTGAACATAAAAGGGGTTGATATTTACTAGCTAATGAAAAAATAAACTTTTATATTTCCATATGTTCATTACTTTGTTGTGAGGTAAAACAAATTTTCACTTATGAAGTAAATCTTTATGATAGGGACTAACTTTCAGCTCACAATGCCCAGATATTGCTAATAATCATAGAGAATTCTCATTTGGCATATGTAAATATTCCCATTTCCCTTCCTAAGTCCCCATCAGCCCACTATTCCTATAAGAATTGGAAGGTGCTAATGTAAAGAAACATCCCTCTCAACACTACTATCTTTCAACTTCCTTTTTGTGTGTATGCTGAAGGGGGTTGGGGGGAATCTGTTAACAAGGTTTTATTTATGTTTCCAAACAGCCAGTATATTCTCCTATAGGAAACAGTCTACTTTAATTTAAAAGTGTGTAAATAGCATAAGTCCCTACCTCTTTTCTCCTCCTTAACTTTAGCATTCATCTCAAGCAAGTGGACAATTATTCTCTGTCCAACTTCCCTGTTAAATCTTGTTGTTTCCATTCTCTCTGATGATCTTTTAAAACCCAATCATGAATACAAAAAGAAAAAAGAAAGAAAGAAAGAAATGTGAAGGCAAGAAACTGTCTGGCCTCCTCACAACTGTGATTACTTCCATTATTGCTCCTTGAGGGAAAATTATTTGTGCTGTTTCTAAAATTCTATTGCTGTGCGGCTGTAGGTACTGGCTTCTTAATTAAGGAAACCTTTTAGTTTGGAAGAAAGCTAAATTGACCAGAGTTTTCAACCAAATGCCTCTTTAAGTTCCTTCCATAGGGATCCTAAAGTTCTATGTGACCAATGTGACAAAAACCGTTAGAGACAGAGGCAGGGAACAATAGTCTACAGGGTTTTGAGGAATCTCCCTTTACTAATGGAGCTAATTTGCTCCATGTGATTCAACTTGTCTGATTTCTATGAGAAAAGGAAGTCAAGGATAACTAATGGATAAAGCCCAACTTATTGGGGAAGTTTGGAGAACTCCTTATTAGTTCAAACAACACAGACCATGCCCTCAAGAAATCTGTATGTGTAAAGATAGTCAGGATTTTCAAGATCCAGACACAAATTTTGCCAAAATAGTCATAAATACCCACAATCAATCATTTTGTGACCCTGGCCCACATATGCCATCTTCAGACAAAGTATGTGCTTAAGAGACCAAGAAGAGAATCATGGGCATCTCTATTTCTTCCTTCCTGCCTGCACTTTGTTGCTTGTTCTCTTAAAATTCTATATTCTGCCCGCTGGGTTAGACACCCCTATTGTTTACAGCTGGGTCCCGTCTCTCACCTGAGGAAAATCAATGGTAGGTCCTGGGCCCTTTCAATTTATCCCTATCCAATTGCACTAATCATAATGGAAACCAAAGGATTCAGAAAAGTATATTGTAGACAAATATATTTCCCATTCAACAGGAACCCACCAAGTTCCTCATAGTTTTTGTTGGTTAATTCTTTGCTTAAAGAATCATGCATCTAGATGAAAGTTACCCAGAGGTAAGTTTTTGCTTAGGATAAACAATAACTTCCTAACAAGGCTGGAAAGAATAAAATTACGTTAGTAAAGATGTACAAAGTCTAGGCATCTGTTACTCAGCTTTTCAGCACTATGACCAAAATACCTGACAAGATTGACTTAGAGAAAAAAGGATTTATTACAGCTCTTAGTTTCAGAGGTTTCAGTCCGTGGTTGGCTGGCTCCATTGCTTTGGGTCTGAGTGAGACACAACATCATGGTATGTTGAATTGTTTTTCCAAAATGGCAATGAATGTTGCCAAGTTATACATATTCTCTTGTGAGTTCTCTATGGCTTGTGTAAAACAGCATCATATTGGAAGCCATAACTATGGCAGAGGAAAGCCACTCAGCTCAGGCAACCAGGAAGTGGGGTAGGGCAGAGGAAGGGAAAGGGACATGGCACACCCATAGTGACTTACTTCCTTCAACCTTGACTCACCTGCCTACAGTTTCAACCACCTCCCAGGAGTCCACTCAGCTATCAATGGATTGGTCCATCGATGAGGTCAAAGTCCTCAGGTCCTCCCAAAAGTCCCACCTCTGAACACTGCTATATTGGGGACCAAGCCATCAACCCATAAGTAAGTCCTTGGGGCACATTCCATATCCAAATCACAACAGCACCCCTGTAAGGAATGTTGGCAGAAAGGGTCTGGTTAGATTATTCCTAAGGTTCTTTCCCATTTTATGTCTATGGTTCTACTTACTGTTATTACTTAATTTAAGTGAGTCTTTTATGTGTTAAAAATCAACACACAAAAACCTTAAATGGCTCACATTTTACTATTTTAACTAAGTGAATCATGTTCTAAAACTTAGGCTAATTTAGTTTGGACTGAGTTTCTCATACAGAATATATCTCAGGAGGCTAAGACTGTGAAATAAAATTGTCCTATAGTCTAGCAACTTGCACTTGGAATCAGTCTGCATTCTGATTATAATCCTAGTTACAGTTTCATATATAATGCTGTTTTCCATCATCCAAGAATAACTCATAAGAGAATATGTATAATGTGGCATGATACATTATCATTTTTGAAAAATAATTCAAAGCATATTCCCATTGACTCAAAGTTTGGATACCAATACCCTGTTCATACAACATGGTCAGAAAAATCAAAGCCAAATTTGACTACTTGGCTTGGTGAACAATTATACCACATACTTTAAAATATGGTGGTATAATGGCAACTGGACAAAATATGAAGAGTCAAGTTCTTGTTATCATCCATTTCCCTTGAACCAAGGGGCACTCAACCACTGAGCCACATCCCAGCCCTTTTTATATTTTATTTAAGAGACAGGGTCTCTGAGTTACTCAGACCCTTGTTAAGTTGATGAGGATGACTTTGAACTCATGGTCCTCCTGCCTCAGCCTCTCAAGCTGCTGGGATTACAGGTGTGTGCTACCATGCCCAGCCATTGATTGTTTTAATGACCCAATTTCTTCACCAGAAACATAGAAAAAGCTGGGTGCATTGGCACACACCTGTAACCCCAGTGATTAAGTAGGTTGAGGCAGGAGGATGACAAGTTCAAGGCCAGTCTCAGCAACTTAGCAAGACCTTATCTTAAAATAAAAAAACTAAATAATTCAGGGGTAGAAAGTCCTGGGTTTGATAGCCAGTACTAAAAAAAAAATAGGAACAATGATCATTTTATATAAAAATGCTACTAAGTTTGAAGTACCTGAATTAGAAGAAATACCTACGTTGAATCTATAGAATTTTTTTTTGGTGGGGGGTGGCAGGATATACCCAGTATTGAACCCAGGGGCACGAGACCACTAAGCAACATCCCTATCCCTATTTGTATTTTCTATAGAGACAAGGTCCTACTGAGTTCCTTAGTGTCTCCTTTTTGCTGAGACTTGGTTGAACTCTCAATCCTCCTGCCTCAGCCTCCCAAGCTGTTGGGAAGTCCATAGAATTCTTGATATTAAAAAACAACTTAGTATAAAATACAGTGAAAAATTCTTATAAAGAGGAGTGCTTTATAAGTTATTGTTTAGAAAATCTGTTAGAAGGCTTATTAAGGTAAGTAAGAGACACCATCTGTTAAGTACATATTGTTCCCAATTTTTCCAACAAGAATTCTTTCAACTTCAGTTAAATATTAAGTAAAGAGCAGTCCTAGTGGAACAGAGAATGGAGTGATCAGTAGAGATGATAATACATATTGTAAAATGAAGTTGTATACTTTCTATTTATGGCATTAGAGCATCCATAAAGTTAGCAATGGTTTGTTCATTTGCATAATCTACAGTTACCAATAGTGAAGAACAGTGCTATTGTTTTTCTCAACTCAAAAGGTGAAATTTATTATTGGAAATTTAGCACACAGTAGAATACCTGCTTTACAAACTCAGTCCTTTGGTATCTACTTTAGACTGGGCTTTTTTGTTTCTTGGAAATGTTTTGAACAGCAATAACACCTCCAGTTTAAAACATTTTCACACACTTTCAATATGTATCCCTTCAGAATAAAATACTGAAGAAAAATTTCCACCTGTGAGTGAATAAAATGTTTACTTTCTTATATATTACTTATTTATTGGTTGTAAATTTTCAAGTAGATACACACTTAGCATGGATTTCTTCTGTCATTACCATTTTTGTATATTTTTGTCATAGTTCCCATATACTATCAAAAATACCCTCAAAATTAAGTATGAGGAAGATCTAATTTGTCTTAGTTTTAATTATCAGTGACGAACATCAAACTTACAAAGTCAGCAGTACAGATAACATTTGAGAACCATCGTTTTTTAAAAGTCCAATTTTTGAACAACAATATTTTTTTAAAGAGAGAGAGACAGAGAATTTTTTAATATTTATTTTTTAGTTTTTGGTGGACACAACATCTTTGTTTATTTTTTATGTGGTGCTGAGGATCAAACCCAGCGCCCCGCACATGCCAGGCCAGCATGTTACCACTTGAGCCACATCCC